AACTACACTTTCACCAATAGCTTGGTGTCAGGAGAAAGTGAGTTGTCACTCCTTACCACTGAATGCTGAAGGGCAACTCATCCCCTTTCCTCTCCTTCCTTCCTTCTTTTCCTCCCTAATGTAGCTTCTTTGAATGGGGAGATACTGAGTTGGCAGTTCTCCTTAGGAGGCCAGCCCAAGCTTCTGTTACGTAATCTAGTGGCATGTAAACAGGATTATCCTGCTTATCCCAGCATAATATTATACTTTGGCATTATTAGGGGCTTCTGACAAACTTACCCAGATCAATTTTTTTTGGAGGGGGTGGCGTTGAAACAGGGTCTTGCTTCGTTGCTCAGGCTGGAGTGCAGTGGTGCCGTCATGGCTCACTGCAGCCTCATCTTTCTGAGCGCAAGCAGTTCTCCTACCTCAGTCTCCTACCTCAGCCTCCTGAGTAGCTGGGACTATAGGCGTGTGCCACCACACCTGGGTAATTTATGTTTTGTAGAGATGGCGTTCTTGCTATGTTGCCCAGGCTTGCCAGACCAGATTTTATCTCTGTCTGAATGTGATAGCGTCCCTAATCCTAAATGTTTCTCTGTATCTCCTGACAACTTTAAAGAAACTGAAGTTCATTTGCCCTTCTATACTACCAGGAAGGCATGCTGCCCTTTGAATGGGGGTATTCCTTGTCTTTTGACTAGGATCCTTCTGCACACACCCTTTCATGTCTATCGGGAAACATGTGCTCTCTCCATCCTCCACCCTTCCTTTCCCCTCATTGTACTCTTGAGCCCTTGGGTCCACCCTCTTTCCCTATCTTTGCCTGAACCTTTACTGTCTAGCTCAGTGCAATACTGTGCTGTTTTTTTTTTTTTTTTTCTCTCTTTCTGCTACAGAACATCCTTTCTGGGATGTAGTTGGTAACTTTTTATAACTTCAGGAGAGAGACTGTTTTCTTTTCTGGCAAATTGCTGAGGCTCTGTGTTTATAAGTGAACGCACACATAGTTCTGTACATAACGTTCCTAACTTATCTTGCCTTCTGAACAAGCATGGTATTGGCACTTCGTGCTGTTTCTGTTCTTTGTCTTGGGTATAGATTTAAAATGCCCCAATCCCTCTTGCCCCCAGTAATAGCTCAACTACTGATTGTTGTATAAAAGGCACTGGGCTCTGAAGGTAGAGACCTTGTCTTTATGGAGTTCTTAGTAGGTGCTGCATACATGATCACTGAACAAATGAGTGAGTACAATCAAGAGAGCAAGGACAATTGGCCGAAGGGTTTCAAGTAGTGGGAAATGGGGCTTTGCATGGTGAACAACACAGATCAAACTGAAGGGCTTTGCATACTACGTAAAGACTGGAGGGCTTTGCATACTACGTAAAGAAACGATGGAATCCTGTAAGCAGCAGGGAGCCATTTAATTTATATATTCTCTAGAGGTATTCATATATGTACAAAAAAGTGTACAGATCTTAAATGTACAGCTTGATGGGTTTTTACTTACGTAAATTACCGGTGTAGTTGCTCCTCAAATCCAGAGACTATTTCCAGAACCCCAGCTTTCATCTTCATTCACAGTGTTTGGATATCAAGTCCCAGAGGTCATGTAGTTGGTCTGAAGTGTAACTAGGACTGGAATTATTACAGCTACTCCTGAGCTTAGCAAATCTTTATACTTGAGTAAAAAACACTAATTCAGACCGTTTAACTGCATGACAAAAATAAGTTATTATTATGGTTGACATTTATTAATCAGCATGCCTTGGTACTTCATATGCATTACTTCATTTTACCTGCTTCACAGGATTTTGTTTCTATCTCTGTTTTATAGATGCTAAAGATTAGACATGTAAAGTGATTTGCCTTAGGTCCCACAGCTAGAGAGTAGCAGAGTTAGAATTAAACCCAGGACTGTTCATCACTGGGACTGATTACTTGTTGGTGATCTGTTGCCTCAAATATCTGGTACCCAAGTTTAACAAAAATGTTGCCTTTTTGGTGGGAGATGATGCTTGTATTTGTTACCTGCACACAGTGAATGCTCTTCTTAGGGATATTCTGACCTGTCTTGTTAGAATTTTGAGAGGGAAAGAGGTTTTTGATTCTATGATAGTTCCCAGAGTGATGTTTCGTTGGAGGAGGAATCTTCCAATGTGGATGGCTCCACAATTTATGTATAGCAAGTAGATGATGGTCTCTGTAGACAGTTTGAAGATAGGACACAGCAGAGATTCGATGTGAACCTAAATATCCAAAAATCCCAGCAATTAATTTGTCTTAAAAATTAGTATGAGTGGAATAAATGCATGTAGCAGTATGGCAAAATTCTTGTAATACTAAGATTGTGTTTCAAGAGTTAAGACATCCAAAGAAATGTTCATAGCTAGTAGAGGTAAAACAGTTTGTTATACTGGACTTCAAAGTTGTAACAGTCTTTTATACAACAGTCAAACCAACAATCTTTTGTACATGCTTATATCTTAATTTAATCTCACAATGCCAAGAACTGTCACATTTAAAGAATTCTAGTTACTGTGCATGGCTTAGACATTTGTAAAAAATGTATTTAACATTTGTTTATTATATTTTAGGCCAAATTGGTAGGGACAGTGTAGCACTTTTAGGCATCAACTGGGAATAGTCAGTGAAATTCAGGTTTTACAAGATATAAAAGCATGGCATATGGGGAAACATGTTTCAAGAAACGAATCTTAAAAAGTACAGAGCATGCTTTATCCAATTTGCTTGTGAAAGACTGCTGATTCCTGTTTAGAATAGTGGATATAGAGAATATTGTTGCCAGTAAAATTTGTTTACTTTTTGAAGTGGCATGGGTGCCAAAAAGTAAGATCATGATTGTTTTGATACCTGCTTATTTATTTATTTTTTTAGGCTAGTTAAGTGAATTGATACTTGTTTATTTTTAAATGGTGATGGAGTAGTGGAGGAGATGGCTTCCTACTAAAAGTTACTGCTATTGGTAAACATTTCTTTTACAAATTTTGTTCAGTAAAGCATGCATTTAAGTGAAATATCAAAAAAGAAATAGGATTATTGATATTCTATAATCACAGAATATAGGAATTCTGTGATTAAACATTTTAATTTTAACTTAAAAAAATTTTTAAGAGGGTGTTATTCTGTCTCCCAGGCTAGAGTGTAGTGTGACATGAGCATACCTCACTGCAACCTCGAACTCCTAGCCTCAAGCAATTCTTCTGTCTCAGCCTCCAGAGTAACTAGGACTACAGGTGTACACCACCACATCTGGCTAAGTCTTACATTTTTTGTAGAGATGCGGTCTCACCTTGTTGCCCAGGCTAGTCTGGAACTCCTGGGCTCAAGTGATTTTCACAAAGTGTTAGGATTACAGGCATGAGCCAGCATGCCTGGCTTTAAAGTTATTCTTAAGACTTAAATAAAATGTGGAAAGTGTCCTTCAAAAAAAATATGTAAAGTCATGGTATCAGGCAGATTAGTATATCTCCTCCCAAAACCAGGGGGTTCTTTTCTCTCCTGTTCCGAGTGCTTATTTCTGAGTAGCTCTCTGGTGTTTGCGTAGGTCACCACAACTGTTGGGTCGCAAGAGCCAGGAACCGTTGCCTGAAGAAGGCTAAACACCCTTGGTGCTGGTTCCTAGCATTAAGCTGTCTCCTTCCAAATCATTCCTTCAGATTTTGTAATGAGCCAGTGGGAAAAATGGGCTTTGAGGAAGTCTGTCCAAAGTAGATCAAAGGAGATACTCAGAACAAAAGGAGGATAATGTTGGTGTCCTAGTTAGTGCCCTTCTGTAAAAAGAGGGAAAGGTACTTTCTCAGATTATTGTTGTTTTCTTTTTTAATCCTTTTTCTTTTTTGGAAACAGGGTCTCATCCTGTCACCAAGGCTAGAGTGCAGAGTGATATGATCATGGCTCACTGTAGCCTTGACCTTCTGGGCTCAGGTGATCCTTTCACCTCAGCCTCCTGAGTAGCTGACTTTTTAAAACCCTTTTAAAGAAAACTGGTATGTAGGCTGAGATTCTTCCCTTCTTACTTGGATACTTTGTCCGCCCCTCTTTTTTTTCAATAGTTGGGAGGGTTTGATCAAAGAAGAGAGGAATAGAATATAAGATTTTAAAAAAAGCAAAAAAAGGTGTCACTGAAAGAATAAGTTTGAGGTTCCTACAGATGAAAAAATTTCAAAATGATATTTTCTTATAGTACATAAGAGTTGAAAGAGGAATAAGACAAAGTGTGAGAAAAGAAAGGTATAAGACGAAATGTTCCAGGCTTCTTTGTGTTGTCTCCATTTCTTTCCAGCTACTTGTCTTCTTAGGACTGATGATTATAATCAGGTTGCTAATTCAAATAGGTCTGAATTATAACTTACTGTGTTTTCTAATTTTTCTAGAGTTTGAGATCTAGATTCTTAACCTTAAATAATTACAAAAAAAGTTGTAGATCTTTTGCAATCTTGCATATTTCAGATATGAACATTTAGAGATACCTAGTAGCTTTTCTTCACGTGAAAGTGCTCATAAGAACATTTGGTGGGGAATTGACATATAGGGTAAACTCTAGTACCTTGAAAATGTTTTGATTAGTTCTGGGTAAGTGGAATTTGTTAAGCAAAGTAACATTGGTAGGCAGGTAATCATAAATTTTATTTTTTATTCTATTTATTTTATTTGTTTTTATTTTTGAGACAGGGTCTTATCCTGTCTCCCAGGCGGAATACAGTGGCACAGTCATGGTTCATTGCAGCCCCTACCACCTGGGCTCAAGTGATCCTCCCATATCAGCCTCCCAAGTAGCAGAGAATACAGGGACACACCACGTCAGCTAATGTTTTAATTTTTTAATTTTTTTTTTTTTTTTAATTAGAGATAGAGTCTTGCTGTGTTGCCCAGGCTGGTCTCAAACTCCTGGCCTCAAGTGATCCTCCTCCCTCAGCCTCCCAAAGCACTAGATTTACAGGTGTGAGATACCATGCCTGGCCATAAATTTTAAAATAAGGTTTTTTCTTTTCTTGCAGTCCTATTTTGTAACAGATTATGATCCAACCATTGAAGATTCTTACACAAAGCAGTGTGTGATAGATGACAGAGCAGCCCGGCTAGATAGTAAGTAAACTTCCTTTTTTTGATAATTTCTATATCATATATTTTAAAAAAGTAAACTCTGATGTTTTGCTATGTTAAATATATTTGAAATATTAGATGATCTGGAATATTAGCCCATGTCATTTGTAAGTTTTGATTGAAGAGTCCGCAAAATGGGTAATTTAAATATTCTTCAGTAAATGAAAAGTAAAACAATATTTGTACTGATCTTGTTCTAGTGAAACTAGTCTCATTACAGTTTGTTGAAGTTGATTTTATTGAGGCAACTGGAAAAAACCTGCCAGGTCTCAACTCTTCCTACCTTTTGGCAAAGGTTAAAATGGATGAAGTGAATATAGAAAAGGTTTGATATTTGTCACTTAGAATTTATAGCACAGAGGCTTTAACAAATACTGTTTGTGTCTAAACATCCCACCTCTCCACAAGGAAAGCCCTATTCTTCTAATATGTGTGATTCTTTTATTTGCAGAGATCAAAAATTACATTAGCACCTGCACTAAGTATGGTATTGGGGGATGGTGGTTATAACTCAGATTTCTTTATTGAATTTACACGTATCTTTTTCAGTTTTTTCCATGGAGGGGATAAAACATTCAAGTGATTTTAGAGGCTACTTGACTCTATCTGATTAAATGTATTTATATTTTTAAGCTTCTAGTTAGTATGCTAATATATTCTAACCACAAAGTCAATCAGTACTGATGAAGATAAACTCTGTAACTGTCTGCCATTAGAATATATTTGTCTTTAGTATTAAGAATAAAGTACTAAGAAAGGAATGCCATTTCTATATTATACCAAGTATGAGGCTCTCTAGAGGACCCATATTAATTGGTCTTGCCCTTGTGGGGAAGCAGTTTATAAAATGAAAGCACAAGTATAATTACATTTGTTGTTTTTTCTGTAGTTTTGGATACAGCAGGACAAGAAGAGTTTGGAGCCATGAGAGAACAGTATATGAGGACTGGCGAGGGCTTCCTGTTGGTCTTTTCAGTCACAGATAGAGGCAGGTTTGTACCATATTAGAATGTAGATCCACTGTTTTTGTCAAGATCACTAGACTTTATTGAATTTGGACTTTTTGTTTTTATAGAAAAAGGAAAAATAAAGTACTAAATGGGGCATGAGACTTGCTGAATTCTGATACTTGACCAAATTGATTAATTTGTTTTTGATTTTTTTTTTTTTTTTAAGTTTTGAAGAAATCTATAAGTTTCAAAGACAGATTCTCAGAGTAAAGGATCGTGATGAGTTCCCAATGATTTTAATTGGTAATAAAGCAGATCTGGATCATCAAAGACAGGTGAGAAGGAATTTCACTGTTGGGAAACCAATTGTTTGTAATCATGTAAGTGAACTGATAGATTTAAGGAAATAATTGAAAGTCTGGTAAAAAAAAAAAAAAAAAAAAAAATACTGTGCTCCATGCCACTTAAGTGTTTATAGCTGAGTCTGGCACAGTGTATTTACAGAAGTCACAGCGGGTAAAAAAAATAGAAAGGACGTAGATTTGGGGAAATTAAAATTTCTTATTTTCAAATAGTTTTTCATAAAATTTTGTAAGACTTTATAAGCCTGCAAATGTTTGAACTAGCTTCATTCACATGTAATAATTTCTTGGATTACATCCAAAACTCTAACTTAGTTGAATAATTTCAAAGTTACCACTAAAGGCCTAAGTTATTCAGTGTTAATACTAAATTAACTTCATGTAGAGAATGGCTTTCATTTATATTACAATATTTGGATTTTTTCTAAGTCACTTTAATGACTGAATTTTCTATTAATTCTTTACATTGGCTAGCTCTAACACTTTGGTAACATTTAATAAAATAATATTTTTAGTATTTAGTTTGCAGGCTAATTTATTCTCACTTGTTTCTTTACCCACTTACTGAAATTTTATTAGTTAAAACAATGTTTTGGTGACATTGTACATTCACCTTTTTTGTGGAGGAGGGGAACAAGGTCAGTTGTATATTAATGTAGGCTGTTCATTTGTATTAGTCCGTTCTCATGCTGCCAAAAGGACATACCCAAGACTGGGTAATTTATAAAGGAAAAGAGGTTTAATGGATTCGCAGTTTCATATCTCTGGGGAGACTTCACAATCATGGCGGAAGGCAAAGGAGGAGCAAAGGCGGCAGGCAAGAGTGTGTGTGTAGGGAAACCGCCCTTTTTAAAACCATCAGATCTTTTGAGACTTATTCACTACCATGAGAACAGGATTGGCGAAACTACCGATGATTCAATTATCTCCACCTGGTCCCTCCCACGACACGTGGGGATTATGGGAACTACAGTTAAAGATGAGATTTGGATGGGGACACAGCCAAACAATATCAATGTTATATATATATATTTTATTTAAAATATATATATATTTAATATATATATATATTTTATTTAAAATATATATATATTTAATATATATATATATTTTATTTAAAATATATATATATTTAATATATATATATATTTTAAGGTCTTTCGTCTCTATCCCACATCTGAACTGTATTTTTTAAATTGTTTCTTTTGCTGGTATTTAAGTATTCTTGTTTTTATATTATGTTGTGTTTACAGATTCTTAGGATTTTGTTGGAAAAGTGCAAACATCAGGAAAAATTGGTTGATAAACAGCTTTGAGGGCAGCCTTCCATTTTGTAACTGTCTGATTTTAGCTGTGTACATAAAATTTTATTGGCATACCAGATTTCAAACACTGACTTAAGGGAAAATGATATATTATCCTAATGCTAAGATTTGGAAATGTTCACTGATGAAACTTGGTATAGAATAAATTTTCCTGCTAGGTCTTGTGCAAATCTGAGTTATAAAGTTAGGGTGAAAACATTTCTTCTTCATTTCAAATGAATATAAACCATTTGAAATAATTAAGAATATGGCATTGCTTGCATTATAAACCTAGCATAGACAGTTCATCTATTTTTTTTAGATTTAATTTTGTTTTTTTTTAGAGCATTTCCTTGAGGTTTCTAAACCGGATTATATTTATTGATGTTGCCCAGTGGACCCTGCCTGTGGCTCTTCTCAGTTCTTTCTAGTACTAGAAACTCTATATGTCACTGCATCTGGGAAATAATGGCAAAGTAGACGTGCATTGAAGGAGTTCTTTTCCCTATCTCTCGCTGACTTCTGCCTCACCCCTATATGCTTCCTGCCCTGAATATAGAAACAGGATCTTTCTCAAACCTTCTCATGGTGGTAGCTCCAGTAAAGGGATAGGTAGGAGACCTAGGATAGGTGGAGATCTCCTGTAGGGTAGGCAGTGGCAGATTAGGGAGGGAAGGAGGGTGTATACCCACTAGAACCCAAAGAAGCTCTGCCATTATCAGCTGGGTCTATATGAGTTATTTTTAAGTTGTCTATATACCAGATTGAGGATCCCTAGCCCAAAAATCTGAAATCTGAAATGCTCCAAAATCTGAAACTTTTTGAGAGCCAACATGATTCCACAAGTGGAAAATTTCACACCTGACCTCATGTGATGTCACAGTCAAAACACAGTCAAAACTTTGTTTCACGCACAAAATTACTTAAAATATTGTATAAAATTATCGTCAAGCTATGTGTATAAAGTATATATGAAAAGTAAATGAATTTTGTGTTTAGACTTGGGTCCCATCCCCAAGAAACATCATTATGTATATGCAAATACTGTATTCTAAAATCAAAATATTCCAAAATCCCAAACACTTCTGGTCCCATGCATTTTAGATAAGGGATATTCAACCTGTATTGGAGATTGCCAGAATGTGGTATGCAATTCCCATCTGTCTGCAGACAGTCAACATATTGTGGCACTGGCTTTGTTTGTATGTCATTGGATTATAATTTTTTTCATGGAATTTTTTTTACTTTTTGTAAAAGTAATAGATTCTCAGAGTAAAAAAGTGGGAGAACATACAGGAAATGATTTCCTTATTTCGGTCACCCTAAAGATACGTAGTGTTAGCTTTTGGAGTAAGTTATTTTGTATTTTGTATTTATTTTTCCATCTAAACCATATAAATAGTCATAAATTATGTATATCCTGAAAAGCTTAGATGTATATATATCCAAGGGAGAAAAGCAAGTGCCTAAAATCCAATTGCTTAGTTTTCTGCTCATTTATATGGCGTCTACTCTCTGAAGGATAGACACAAAGAAAAGTTTTATTTTTCCTTATGCTTTTTTTTTCCTTTGCACCTGTACTCAGGCATGTTGACTACTCTCAGTTTAATGTCATGACCACTGATCTTTATGGGCCTTTAGTGCTGACTGGAAATCCTACATTTCCCTAGTCCACTTATTTCCCATTTGTTTGGATAATTTTTACATACTTTCTCATTTTCTTCAACCTGTAACACTTTCTTCTCTTTCCTCACTCTTGGCTGATAATGCGTATGTTTTCCTGTTTCTGTGAGAAATTTGTACATGTCCTTACCTCCATATCTACTAACCTGAGTGCTCAGGTACCCCATGAGGTTCACTTCCCTCCACTTACATGGATAAACTGTTCATCTGTCTATGAACAACTTCTCTACCAGACACTGGATCCTGTTCCTTCTCACCAGCTCATGGACTTTACTCCAGCAGTTGTTCTATTTTAGATGAACATTCCTACATGATCATTCCCATCAGCATACAACATGCTACAATGTCTTTTATCTTTAAAACAAAAAGACTATAGCACAAACTTTTAATCTCACATTCCCCTCTGAGTATGTTTTTTCTGCCCCTCTTTAATAGCAAAACTCCTAAAACTTCAACTTTCTCTACTTTTTCTCCTGCCGTTCTTGATTGTACTGACATCAGGGATTCAGTGCCACTGTCAGTATCACTAATTGGGCAAATGTCAGTGACGTTTGACATGGTTGATCACTCCCTCCTTTTTGAAGCACTTTACTTGGCTCTGAGATAGTATTTCCTGCTCCTCCAGCCTCCCCAATGTCCTTTGTTGGTACTACTTTGTCTCCTTGTCTCTCTAAAGTGTCTTGGGCTCTGAATGTGCAAAGGCAAACATACCTTATCTCCTACCCTTGAGGGGCATGCTGTTGAAATTGAGATGCTATAGTAAGAGGTTTTTACCTTTTTTTTTTTTTTTTTTTTTCCTGAAACAGGTCTTGCTCTGTCGCCCAGGCACAATCTCGGCTCACTGCAACCTCCACCTCCCGGATTCAAGCGATTCTCCTGCCTCAGCCTCCTGAGTAGCTGGGCTTACAGGCACGGGCCACCATGCCCAGCTAATTTTTTATATTTTTAGTAGAGATGGGGTTTCACCATGTTGGCCAGGCTGGTCTCAAACTCCTGATCTTGTGATCCGCCGCCTTGGCCTCCCAAAGTGATGGGATTACAGGCGTGAGCCACTGCGCCCGGCCGGTTTTTACCTTTTTAAAGTCTCTTCACAATTAAAGGTGTTGGTCTGTGTCTTGACACACTTACGTGTTCTGCCAAGTCAACTTGGACAGGCCACAGGGACGCTGTAAAAGCTTCTTTCCCCCTGTTCAGAGATGTTTAGTTTTTTGTCATATCTAGGTTCTTAGTAACCTGTCTGGCTTGCTCTCTGTTGCCGACGCAGCTTGTTTTCTTATACCTTTGTCTTAGACATGATCCTTTGTAGTTTCTTTACCTTCTAGCATATTTTCTTGTAGAAAATAAATGCCAGTTCTCCTTGTTCTTTGAATTTGTGGGTCAGTACTGGCCATTTCTACCACTGGCTCCTGAGATTCTGAACCCCACCAGGGAGGGGAGATCATCCAGAAGAGGCTTTGCTTGCTTGCTTGTGGCCTCTGTATCTGTGGACTGGGTTGCTTCTTTCATCCTTCTATCCATTCATCCAGTATTTATTGAACACCTTTTCTAGGCAGTGATGATGAAGCAGTAGACAGAATAGTCACTGAGGTTTACGTGAAATAAAAAGAGATCTGTAGAATTTGTATGGTTTTTTAGTGTTAACAGCCATCTGGTCCCTTAAGATATGCCAGTCATTTTGTTTATTCTGCTAAAGGTGTAGGAAGAAAGCATAGGTAAATGATTTGCTTACCTTTGCTGAAATATGAAAGTAGGTAAATGTAGCAACACTTGAACCTGAAATTTAATACCACAGTATTTTGGCTTAGACAGTGGAATTTCATGATATATCTGATTTCAAGTTCCTTGTCCTCAACTCAACCCTGTCTAGAGATCAACTGTTTTTGCTTTTTTGTCTTTACCATCTTTCTCCTGGTTTACCTTGGTTGTTCCCTCTTTTTCCCCTGCTTTTTAGTTGCTTAATTATTAATCGTAACTGTTAATTTGAGA